ACAATTATGGGGAAGCCAATGATGAAGGGGATTCCCTACAAAGGAGAAAACGTCCTTCACCAGCTCAACCAAATGCTCAATATGAAGAGCTTATAATCCCAACCGAGGATGATGCCCAAGTGCTCTAGGGAGAATTGACTTGGTGGAGAATGTCAATTCTCCCTTTTCGGTCCGAGTTGCTGCTCCAGGTACTATAAGGCTGAGTAATAGGGCTCTTCCGACTTCAGTTGGTGAGCAACCAACCAACATCATTGCCTCTTTCACAGCTAATTCTGAACCCACAACACCCTTTATCTCCTTCCACGCCGGCCAGACCCCCATCACAACCAACTGCTATATAACTCCCACCGGTCGCAAATGCTTGAGAGGAGGATGTCCCTCGTCCCCAGTCCCCAAACTATGGGAATTCGGGGCACAATTAATTGCCCCCTTCAGTAGATCCCCGAAGGATGAGTAGTGTCTCCCTCTCGGTGTCTACTAAGTGTCATCGACTGTCCCGACCAGTAAAACTCGCCAGTTATCTAAAGCCGTTGGCTTCAGAAAAGGATAAGAAGAAAATACACTCTCTTTCGGGAGAGTGTTTGTTATATAATGCCATGCACAATGTGGTAGCGGTACCGAACTTGCTTTTTATTGCTTGTTTTTCTTTTTTCTTGATTTGTCATGATAGTTTTTTTAACTTTGGTATTTTCTTTACAAGCCGACTTCCTTGCTTCTAAGGGCCTTCAAAAATTGATCCTTGATAATGAACGGCTCATGTTCGAGTGAGATCAATTGTTGGCTGAGATGGACCAAATCGCTTTGGAAGCAAAAGCTGCTGAGGTGAGTGAGTTGAAGGATCGGTTGCAACAACGTGAGAAAGAAGTGATGTCCCTCAGCCAAGATGACTCTCAGCTAAATGTACATTTTCAAGAAGCTAAGGCTAAATGGCCTGAGGTCCAAGATGTTGTTCTTGCTACTGCCGAGTAGGAATCTGCCTCCACTAAAAGAGTGAATAACTTGGAGGCAGCCTTGAACTCCAAAACTGAAGAGGTTGTTGTTTCCAAGTAGAAGCATGCTTAGATGGAGGATAGGTATAAGAGGATCATGGAACATAATAAGGTTCATATAAGCATTATCCATTATCTTGATCTTAATCTTAGCGCCACGAGATCCGAGCAGGATGACTTTCTTACTAAGGTTGATAGGATTAAATCAGATCTTCAGCATCAAACGAATTCCCTCATCATCAAAAAAAGACATTACATGTATAATATGAGGAGTAAAACCTTGGAAGAGGCCAAAACAGGTGTCATATATATTGACGCTAAGATCGCCAAGGCTCGAGAGCTGGAGTTAACTATTCAAAGGCGCCTTCCAAATTAGTTTGATACAACTGACTCTTCTAGTACTGATTTCGAGTTCTTATGAACCGAGAAAGAACTTGAAGAGAATAACGATGAAGTCCAAGATCTTGAGCCAGCGGTAGATCTGCCTACTTCTCTTTAAGAGGATGTCTCATGTTCGTTCCAGCACTAGCATTTGAAGTACTTGACTAACTTTCAAATGATAAAATCGAGTCATCATTTGGACAAGAAATAAAATAAAAATAAAAGGATTTTATTTTATTCCTTATATCTTTAAAAGTACATAAGCATTTGTTTCGTTGAAAGACAAAAAATTGCCATTTCGTGTGACTAATTTGTACAACTTATTTCTATGGCGCTGGCCGTGCAATCCCTAATCTCGATGAGACATTTTGTTCTCGGGTCTCGTAGTCCTGATTTATGTGGAAAGATGTTGCCATATTCTCATACAATTACCCCCTCTAGTGTTCGAATGTGAATTGGAATACTGGGAGCTTTGCTCTTTTGAGTATTCCACTAGTGAATGGTTGGATAATCTTTCATTTAATAGCAAGCTTTGTTTCCCATTGGGAACTTTGCTATCGAGAAAAATAATATCTAACAACCCCCTAATGGCTTGTCGGAAATAGCGCACGCGAATGGTTGGATAACATTTGATCTGATGGCAAGTTTTGCTTCCCATTATGAATTTACTAACGAGCCAAAGACATTCGGTAGTGGTTTGTTGTTTCAATGCCTTATCATTTAAAGGTCTTATCCTTGCTGATGATGTTTTCTTTACAATATGCTTTTCATTGTTGCATCATTAAAAACCTTGCCAGAAAAACAAATTTGGGATAAAAACTAGGCAAAGGAAAAAAGAGTGCAGCACATACTTTCAGTACAAGTGATGCCCATCAGCAATAATACCTTTTGAGATAAGTCACGTTCCAGTTATTTTTGCAATTTGACTCCATCTTGGTTTTCTAGTTCGTATGATCCCTTTCCGATGATAGCTAAAACTCGGTAGGGACCTTCCCATGTTGGGCTCAACTTTCATGCATTGAGATCCCGTGTATTTTGAGTCACTCTCCTAAAAAATAAGTCTCCCACTTTCAAATAATAGATTGACCCTTCGGTTATAGTACCTTTACATTCTTTGTTTCTGGGCCACCATCCTTATCTGTGCCAAGTCCATGTGTTAGTCAAGTAGTTCTAATTTTACTAGGAATGCTTTCTTGTTTGTTTCTTCATCCACCTAGATGTACCGCAAGGTTGGTTCTCCTACTTCCATCGGGATTAGAGCTTCTTCACTGTACGCGAGAGAGAAAGGTGTCTCTCCCGTGTTTGACTTGGCCATCGTCCGATATGCCCATAGCACTCCCCGTAACTTTTCGGTCCACTTGCATTTAGAAGCTTCAAACCTCTTTTTTGAAGTTTTGAATAATCACCTTATTGGTTAATTCTGTTTGGTCGGATGGTATGGCGAAGACGTGATTCTTTTAAATTTCAAGTCCTCCAAGAATTTTGTCGCAAGCAATCTCCTTTGATATTCCGAACTGGAAAATTATGTTTATCCATAGGGAATTGCAGACTTTGTATAGCCAATTTTCCGGTAAGGACCTGCTTCAACCCACTTAGTGAAGTAATCAGTCAATATTAAAAGAAATCTTACCTTTCTGGAAGACAGTGACAGCTACCCGACTATATTCATTCCCATTTAATTAATGGCCATGAGGATAGTACCGAATGTAGTAGTTCCATCAGTTGATGCACTAACGGTGCATGGCGTTGACACTTATCGCATTTCTGAATGAATGCCTAAGCGTCTTGTTACTGTGAGCACGTAATTTTTGCCCTACTTGAAATACTCCTACAAAAATTAAAAAATAGGTTTTCTAAATTATTTTTAGTTTTATAGGATTTTTGTAGTATTTTCTTAGTTACTTGTTTGCATTTTTATGCACATTTAATATTTTTTAAAATCATACAAAAATATTAAAAATATCAAATCATCATTACATGGTATTTTTAGGCTTTAATTGCATTTAGAATTTAAATTACATAAGTTAATTGCATTTATCAAACAAAAATCATAAAATTATCATGGTCTTGTCTATATTTTAGTTTTAATTAATTAGTGTTAAAATTAGTGAAAATAGGTAATGATAATTTTATAAAAATTGATTAATTTAGAATCTAAATTAGGATTTCATTTAGTTTATCTAATATTTTATTAAGAATTACAAAAAAATATAATTAATAATAAGTAGAAAAAAATAAAAGAGGAAAAACAAAATTATAATTTCATTTTTTTGCTTGGGATTCTGATTTTTAGGCCACCCAAAACAAATTTAGTGGTCCAATTTCATTTTTATTCAATTTCGCCCAAGCCCAAACTTCCCCATACCCGGTCCAATCTTTCCCCACCTAAATGACGTAGTTACACCCCCAAAATTACGTCATTTCAAGCCTTCCATCCCCTTAAACGACCAGACTTGACCTATGCCTCATAATCTACCCCATAAATCAATTAAATCGAGTTTTACCCCAATTCCAATCTCTCTCAAGACTGGCGCCCCCTTCCGCCGTCCTCCGCCGCCCGAAAATCGTCTCACGGCGGCGGACCATCTCCAAAATTCCTCAAATTTCAACCACATAACCTCCATCACCCTCTTATTTCAATTCCACTATTAATTTCTCCGAAAACTACTCATTTTCTCCGAATTAGAGATCTAAGAATAAAAATTCAAACTTTTTGCTTTTGCTTGATTTTCCCCTAATTTAGCCCTTATTTCATGATGAAACCTACTTGAATCAACTACATTCAACGTGAGGAGTCGATCATTTGTAGGGATAACCTATTTCATAGTTGGTCGGATTTCGGGCATTTAACCTTTTAGTGTCCAAAATGCTTTGAGCCTCTGCCTCGTCTCTTTCTTGGCGTGTGTTGAAGATTGTGACATGAAGCACTAGTTGTGGAAGAAAGCCCGGCCAATGTTCATATTACAATTCCCATCATTAGCCGAGATTCTTGTTCGCCGGAGTTTGAATCGACTCATTTATGTTTTTCTCTGGGATATCGAAGCTTTTGGCGATTTCACCAGTATACCTCTCCTCCTATTTTCCTAACCCTCATGTGATATCAAATCTATGTCTAAAGATTTTTTCTGGTTCATTATTGATTCATCAGTAGTAATAGCTCAATAATTAGATTAATCGCATTTGTTAATGTTATTTTTGAGTGAAATTCGAAATCTGTTTTTCCGTTTAAATCAAATTTTGTTTGTTTAAAATCTTCATTGATTTTGTTTTTGGTTATTTGTTGGGTTCAGAATTAGGTCTGTTAATGCAAAAGCCCAAATAAGATATTGGACTTGTGGGTTAAGTGGCTCAGAGGTCAGTATCACTTAAGGGGGTAATTACAAGAGTACTAGGGGGTTCAATTTGGATAGGGATTGAGGGAATCTTATCCTAACAAATTGGAAGCTTCTGGATAAGGGCTGATAGAGATTATTTTGGGAAAAGAGGGGGAAATTCTGTGGGCAGGGGTTGAAGTGAAATAAAATGAAAGTTTAAAGGGTATATTTTAATGAGGAAAAACAGGTTTTGTTGCCCTAATTCTCCTCTATAAAAGATCCCTTTTCCATTCAATTAGGACCAGAGAAGAAAAAAGAGAAAAGCTAGATACGACGGAAATTCAAAAGTTTTTTTAAGGGTTTTCTTCGGAAGTTTTGAGCTTTATTTGCTCCTCAACTGTTTCCTGGGATTCCGAAGTTTGAACAGATTCTTGGGTGTTTGATTGCTGGTTTTGCTGCTGAATTTTCTCCTTTGGATTTCAAAACTTTATTGAGTTTATCTAGCTGATTTTTCTCACATTTAGGTATGTTCTTCACCTTAAAATTACCTAGCTAAATCAGTAAATATCAATCTGAGTTTTTGGTTATTTTATCTTGTGTTAATTAGTTCCTTTTTGTGTGTTTGTATTTAATATTCATGATATTCTCTAGTTATGTCAATGCTCGTTTGAACAACATGTCATGAATGTACTGTGTGTAACATTCTTGCCACTCACTTTGAATTATTCTGTGATTGAACTCATCTACTTTTTTTATTAAAATAAATCATGGTTCAGTTTTGGTCCTAAATCTGTTAAGGCATGACAAATAGGCTATATGTGTGTTTGAAAATAAATTCTGTGGTGTTCTTACATCAATTTTTTGTTTCAGATAATTTGATTTTATAAGCTGAAGTGAACAATGACGTATGGTGTTAATGAATGCGAGCACGTGATTTTTGTTGTCGCGACAATCACTCCAAAAGGAAACTAAAATAATAGCAATTGGTCTTGCCGTACAATTTCTGGATTTTTACGTGGCACTTTGTTAATTATTTATGATTTTGGCCCATTTTTATTTTTATTAAAACAAAATACCAAAAAAGTGTGTCATGCGTAGTTTGAACCATAATCCGATTATTAAATGGAAAATCATAAATACGCATCTTTGTCCGTGATTGTTTGCTTTGTTTGATTTTACCTACTTTAAATATTTTAATATATGTGTGTAAATAATTGTATTAAGTATTTAATTAATGAATTTTAATTTGGTTTACTTAGGTTTTGTTTTAAAATAAAAAAT